ACAATTGGGCTCAGTCAGCCACACCTCGTCCACTGTATCGTGTTCCCAATTCGACCTAATGATAACGCCCAGATAAGTCTCGATAACGAGCCAAGAGAACACTTCGGAAAGTGCATCCAAACTTACTTTATCGAACGCGTTGCCGACATTGGTCATCGTACGCATGTCGTACAAGATTACTGCATCGTTCTCGTCAAACGTCAGATCGTGTGCGAAGTGAGTGTTGATAAGTTCGAGCCAGATTCCTCTACGAAGCCCTCTAGTCAAGTCGTCCAAATTAGAAACAACGCAGGCCACTTCATCCGACACACTCGTCTCATGGGTTGCAGTGGTGGCAGCGCCAAGGGCCGCGACGGTCTCGTTCCACTCAGGCCAATAAAGCGGTTCCTGAACATCGAGCAGTTCGACGTGCTGGTCAACCAGAGACGTGAGGTCCTTTCTGTGAAGCAGTGTGCGCCATGTGCCAGTGACCGGTTCAACTATCAGGACCCGCTGGTTTTTACCGCGATACATCGACGTGTGCACGCTCAGTAGTCCCATTCGCCAGTTGATCGCCAGGTCGAGCAGAAGATCTAAAGGGTGCCGAGTCACGACGCCTACTTGCGATTGATTGCGCGGCCGAATCATGCGCATTGACGATGCCCAAGTCTTGAGCACATCCAAGTTGGATTGGACGTCTTCGCTGGCTTGAAGGCAGGATAAGAAAAACTTTCGCGCTTTATCCGGTGCTTGTCTGTTAAATCGAAGCTCCGCAAGGGTGGTACGTTGAGCAGTTGTGATCGGGTCGTGCATTCACCGATGCTCTTTTTCGACAGCCCAGGAGCCACACACGAAATAGTAGAAGTCTTCACAGGGATCGACGGAATGGTTCCATGCCATCTTGATAGCAGCGGCGTGGCGTAAGGAGTCGGTGTCGTTGCATGTCTTGATGCGCCTTTTCGACGACCTTGGCTTCGCGATCATTCTCCGAGCGGTGATATAGATGAAAACGCCGATAATCACGACGGCTATCGCGAAGAGCGCAAGCGCCGATATGGGGCTGTGATGCCCTCTTCCACTATGCGGGCTGCACGATTCTCCTTCTACCTGTGTTAGAGAGAATAAGAAAGACAATATTTTTTTAGGCATAGTTTCGTGAGTATCCAGCTGGAAGCCTAACGACAATGTAAATAGGCATGCATTTTGTGCAAACTAATTATTATATTATTCTGCAATGATTAATAGCCTGTGGGTAAGCTGTTATGCCTCCATGCTTGGGTCGTGCACGCTTCGAAGCAGAAACGGAAAGTATAAAGTAAAAATATCGTGTTCCGCACTCTCACTAAAAATAATTCACCGAAGTCCCAGCTTCGAAAAGGTAAAAGTGAGAGGAAGAAAACTAAGTCTTTGTTTTCGTGAAACCAGTGAACGCTTATTCTTTAAGAAGAATGGCGATTTGGGCTAGTTGGTTTGAATTCATAGTAATAAGGGCTGCAGCGCGAGCACGAATGTGCTAGAAGAAACAGACAAAGTCGAGGTACGGAAGGCAAAAGAGGACAGCGCTCGTGTTGTCCTCTTTTGCCTTCCGTACCTCGACTTTGTCTGTTTCTTCCAGCACATTCATGCTCGCGCTGCAGCCCTTATTACTATGCTTATTCTTTAGTCCTCATCGTCCAACTTGGTCAGTTTGAAAGTTGGTCGGTTGGAGCCGGAGGTGGGCAATATGTAGTTTTCTAGTCTCTAAAGAGCCTTTTCACTGCCTGTCATTACTGGTTTGGTTTACAGATGACAGGTTACACTAAGAGGCAGGATGTGACCGATTTCAACATCAAACTAAAACAGAAGTTTGACGACCATTCCAAACATTGGAGGTTCCTTTATACTTCCTAAGCGCAGTCGAAACAGGAGGGAATATAAACTTGTATTTTTAAAGGTAAGTATACTGCGGACTTCGAAGACGACTCGCTTTTGTTAGAAAATCTATGCGCTCATCCTGTGCGCACATCAAACGCAATCATGAACTGCAGCTGCGCAGGCTATGTTGAGACATTTTTGTACAAGTTCAAATTGAAATGAGCAACGTAAGTGAAGTCATAATTTGCGAACAATGGAAGCAATGAAGAAAGTTTACGCTCCAGTGACTTCACTGGTTAGTAAACCTAAGCGCCTCGTCAGAGAGTGGAATGTTGTTACTCACGTTCCTATGCTATCATGCATAAACAAACACGAGATGTCGCTGTTCTCATTCACATCAAGATTCGTGCATGGTTTCACCTTTGAATCCGTCCGTGACCTTGTGTCCATTGCTTGGCGGTGGGGAGACGCGCCTTGAACTAACCTGTGCTGACGAAGAGGCTAGGGATATTCGTAAGCGGCTTGAACGGTTAAGGTTTCTCGTGACAAGTCCTTGCCTTGTCGGTTTTCCCCGAATGTCTGTCGGACAGCTGAGTCCCAGCTGCACCTCCTTGGTTTCAGTAATTCATTTCTGGAGTGGTCATGACGTTGTAGCTTTTCGTCGGGCAAGCACTGCTGCTGTAACGCTGGACTGCCTCTTTCTCGAGTCTGTGGTACCTGCACCATAGCGGCATCCTCCTTGGTTGAACTTTGTTGGTATCTGCCAGGAGATCTTTCAGAGGAGTACTGCATATTTCTTCACTGTTTACATTGGTTCACTGCTGGATGGAACAAGACTTGAAATCGGAAGACAGTTTTGCCAACTCAATCAAGATGATGGGATTTTTTCTTCTTCGTATTTTTCTTAGACTGCTGCACGCACCAAGAGCGGTGATGATGACAATGAGAATGCCTAAAAAATCGCTCATACCCACTCAGGGGAATCGTCCAAGAACATAACGAGATTTTTAGCGGGGAATAGGACGAGGCTATTTTTTTTTCATCTTTATAGCTCAACGCAAAACCTCGTAAGTGCGCGCAGGAGACAACTTCTTCTAAGGCTCTGAAGCATGATATTTTTTTTTGTTTCACGAAAGTTTGTTAAGGCAAAAACCTTATACGCGTCGTCAAAGTAAGAAAATTACCGTCAATGATGGCAGTATAAATACGAGTAATGCAAAAAAAAAACATCAAGCGATGATGTCACCTCATGACACCACCATGGCATCACAGATCGTTCACATTTGTGACGTCACCTTGTCGTCACGCCACCATAAGATAACACCTCCGCTTGCTCAACAATAGACCGATCACGAAGACAATGCAAAACTATAGGTAATGTTCCTCCGGTCTAGAAGACAGTAGGAAACCAGGTGAAGTGCAGAGAGCGTTCGGAAAGGGGCGGGGGTGGGTCAGTACACCGACTGTGAAGAAATCGACGACGGTTTCCGCCTTAGAGGTGTCTTAGGCGAATACATAAGGAACCCTTGAAGTTATTTGCTCTTACACAACACATGTTGGTGGGATCACTTTAAACCCCATTGACACTTGTCTGAGACTTTCCTTTTCCGGCAGAATCTATATAGAATTAATGTATTTTTTTTCTATATATATGTATACATGTGCCATATATATCCGTAAAAATGAGAGAAACATCAAGTTTTGTGAAGTACGTGTAGGATTCAGCAGGTTGAGTCAAGATAAGCGCCGTTGCTGAGATTTACTGAATTTCATGCATATTGCAGTTGCACTGATGATTCATTATTCAGAAATACTAGCAAACTTTTGTGAGAACCATGCAGGGAAAAGGGTGTTATAACAGCAAAAACACCTAAAACAATAAAACATTATATCGATAACGATCGCTGACAAGGTAGCATGACGTGACAACTTGAATAGCAATACATAAAAACAACAAGAAATTACAGTAGGCTACAACAATGCGCAATAAGTTCATAAATGCAAATGTAGGTTAACTACAAGTTATACAACATAAAAATGATTCCAATGGAAACGGAAGATTAGAACAACAGATTCGTGGGTGAATCATTATAGTCGCTAATAAATTGGGCAACGATGATGAAGATGAAGAAGAGTATGATGTGCTGTTTCCAATAGCGCTGACCACTTGTACAGACTATCTTCACTATATATTTTATGCATTTTTAATCAATTTTTGTTATCATTTCTTAACGTTATTTTTTTTCTTCTACAACAATTCTAAATAGGCTGTTAGCACAATTGTTTTTTCGTTTATACCTAAAAAAAACTCTTTTCAAGCGTCTACCTCCCCCCTCACCCCCACTTAATTTTCAAAAACCCCACTGCCATGCGATTCATGGCCGATGCACCGTGGCAAGTATAGCCACTCCTCTTTGGTCCAACCGACCGGCAAGAAAAGAATATAGGCCAAGAACAGGACGGAAAGATCTTTATGACTTAGGAACCTGAAGGAAACGGGAAATTTATAATAAAAGTAAAACATCAAATAAATGAAAAAGCCTAAAAAACAATAGGTCAGACTATCGTGTTGGTCTTTTTTTACAGAGAGAGGTGCATTTTGAATTTCTTTAATTCTACCCTATGGCACGCACCCACTACGGCGTCTCTCATAATCATATGGTGGTTTTGGGACGTTGAACCCCACAAATAAATCGAGCATTATCTGTTAGCGTGATGAAAAAAAAAGACTATCACATTTTCGTGGCCCTTGAAATTTTGAGCTCTCAGCACAGCGAAGCGACAAACCTAAATAAAATTAATTTCAAGCTTCTTGAAAGCATCGCCAAATACAGTGCAAAAAAAAGAGAGATGACAAAGAATGGCACTGTGATTTCGTATTGCCTTTCGCATTTTATTCATAAAGTCTGAACCCAAATAAGTATGGTGTTAATGCAAACTTGAAAATCGCGTGTGTACTGGAAGGTAAATATACCTGTAAACACAGAAACGCATCGCACAATTAGCCACAGGGATTTGTTCAGAGTATAATTATGAAAGACAAAAAATTCAAATAGACCTGAAATCTGTCAGTACATGAAAATGACACCCCACTGCAGCAACGCAGCGACGACACAATGAGAAACAAACATATTCTTGCTCGCGTGCCACAGTGTAATCAGCGAGCATCAGTTACCATTAAAAAGTGAACACTTTTGAGCCGGGTTCATAGGTGAGCCGGCTGGGCACTTGTACGTTTCGGCGAATGGGCGGAAATTCATTAGAGACGTGTCGCAGATCTCCGCGTTTCCATGGGCTTTAGCCGAGCACATCCCGTGACAGTACGTCATGAAGAATAGCTGGTCTCCGGTGTACTGATCGAGGGTACGCAACTTGACGTCCGCTGCTCCGTTGTCTGGTTCCGAGACCACTTCCTTGTACGCTGCGAAGGCAATCTCCAGAGCTGGGAGGGATGGAAAAAGATCGACAGCTTTGCCGTTGCGACCGTTCGTCTTTGCAGTGCCGTTCCACACGCAGTCACTATTTCGTTTGTGTTCCGACGCCCTGTTCGTGGTCTCCCACCAGAGAGTGTCGTTTCCGTACTCCTCGTCTCCGTTAACGCCACGAGGACCAAAACATCTGGACACTTCCCTGGCCAGGTACGAGCCCAACCCTCCGTATTCGATGGAAGCAACGGCTTGCGTGTAGTAGAGCGGAGGCTCGAGAGCATTCATTGGGACGAGGACAGAGTTGACTGGGTCGATGTACCGTGCAGGCCCATACGTTGCGGACGTGGTTCTGCTGTAGATGTCTTGGTAGCGTTCATGGCTGACCAAGCTGGCGTAAAAATTAGCGACAGTCAAAAGGTTAGCCATGAAGGAGCTGCCATTTATCGCTGGGAAGATGCCATAAATATCTTCTCGGCCCTTGACAGTGAAGAAGTCTGATGGTGGAAGAAGGCTCATTTCGATGTTGGAGACCTTTCTCGCATAGTTTTCTTTCATGTCGTTTGGTATCCACATCGCCTCCCTGATCTTGGTAGTGGCTGCGCGCTTGATTCGACCAGGCAAACTTTCGACCTTTTTACGCATTTCTTTGGAGGCGTAGCGATGCACCACGTGATCGACTATGCTCTGCAAGCCGAAGTAAAGATTAACGTATTCTAAACAAGCGTACTTCTGAATCGTTTCGTGGCTACGCTTAAACTGAAGTTCTGGCTTGCCATAAAGTACCCACAGGTGGGTTTGAATAAATACCCATGCAAGTCCGATAGCGAATTTATCCTCCCCGTATGATTGGAACAGCTTCTCTATGTTCTCGAGAATCTTGTAATGTTCCACTGCAATAAAGCTATCTAGAGTCCAGGTGTACTGGTCCCGAAAGTACTTGTTCAGAAGCCGAATCCAGAGCTCTACCGGAATCGAAGGCGTCCGATGTCCAATTTTTCCAATGGGAAACCAGTCCTGGGTGGGGTTTTCGTGAATTACATCCAATTTCGCTTGAATGATGGCATCTTCTAGTTGCCAGAGTTCAGTATAGTTTACGTTGGAAGGAGTGACGCTGAGGACTTTGAAGTGCTCTTCCACGTGCTTCCTGTAGCTACTGAGCGATTTTTCCTGGCTCTCTTCCCAAGTGATGCCCAGGAAGCCTCTGGTAATGAACAAGGTGCGATAGCTCTCTCGCCCAGAAACAAACCGGACTTGGAAAAGAAAATTGAGGTTCCACTTTATCGCCATCTTCAGCATCACGCTCAAAGGGTGGTCGTTCCCGTAAGGCTCCTCGGGCCATACAAGTCCCAGTTCTCTCTTCAGCGCAACAAGTTTGCGGACATTTTCGTGTCTTTGTAGCTTCGAGTCCATGCAACTCTTGAAGAAAGCCGAAGCCTTGGTGGATTGCAAGGCGTCCCGGTCCAGCTGGCTTAGCGCGATGTTCACCGCTCTGGAGTGAATCTCTTCCAGTAGGTCGTCTCGCGTGTGGGTTCTGGACCAGCGGCCGCACACAAAGCCGTAGAAGCTTCGGCATGGGTGCACGGAATTGTCAACGCTGGTCAACAGGTCGACGGCGTGTCTTACGCAGTCCTCCGTTTCGCAGTACACTACGACCGCTCCCCGTTTTCTGTACTGCTGCCCGATCGTAATCACGCCGATGAGGATGGCAACCTGAATGAGGATAATGCCAATAATCTTCCGCTGCTTCGGTAGATCGAACATCAGCTGCTGCACGTGTGGGATTGAAGTGGATCTCTGAAATGTAGAAAGGGAACACTTACGCTCTGTAATACTGACCATCAAAATCATACTATACTGAAGATGGCTGCGGATTGCACTGCCACTTGCATAGAACCGCGAAAAAACCACCGCGGCGCCTTTTTTGAAAAAAAAACACGAAGAGACAGACGCCCTAATGATATAAACATAATCTTACCAGATATGGTGTACCTTGCAGCTCTTGCATAATCATACCACATATGAACTGTACCTCGCAGCCAACTCGAAGCAGCACCTGTGTGCATCGCCAGGGTCCAGAGCCATGTACTTGACCTATGTTACAAGAAGCTCTATACAAGTGTGATTCAGAGTATGCTATCCCTCAGTTGAGGCAATACTTCTCTCGGCAGTGTAGGCTAGCTCAAACGTTTTGGAAAGTGCTCAGACGATGTACACAGAACAGGGTGAGATGCGTGCGTCGTTCTTCTCAACAGCGTACTTATGTGGGCGTGAGTTTTCCAGGGCTTTATCTGTAGTTTTCGTGCTTTACCAGCTGTGGCATTGTGAAACATTAGCACAGCTTTCGGGACAAAACCATTTCCGAAAAAAAAAACGAGAAGAAAACTTCTCATTGGCTTCATAGGTCCCGAAGGCCTTTATGGTTATCATAAGAGGAACGTTAGGTGGCAAAATATGCTTCCAAAACACTCCTGTATATTATTTGTTAATGCACTGTGCTGATCTCACAGTAATACATGAAACTTGGGAAAACATTCAACCATATTAGTCTGCAGAACGCGCCAATGGCGTGGCAACATTACGTACTTTCAAAGGGACTGTACTGTGGTGTTCTCAGCTTACCATGGTTTCGAACTGTGCGGGCAATGGTGGCACCATGCCGCCGGTGGTGTTGGATCCAGCCGGCGCTGTCGGAAGCTGCGCAGAACAGCCCAGGATGTATTTTATGTGTATTAAGGGATTCTCTATCAAGCTGTATGTTGTCATTCATGATAGCTTAGCGAAAAGGTGTCGCGTTTCTAAGCACGAGAACGTGGATTCGAGTCTGGGCATTGGCATATTCATTTCAATCGCGTCGAAACACAATAACACCCACGTACAGGATCGTAAACATATAAAGCTCTACACGTCTTTTTAGTATTTAAGACGACATAGAAGCTTATGTTTGATACTATTATGTAAGCGTAACCGCAGTTGATTAGTAGGTGACTTAGAAGGGTACAACCTCGACTAAGAGGGAAGTGAGGAAGCGTGCTGGTCCCTGCTGTCAGCTCACTCCGAGGGCAGCGCTGCGGGTGCTCGTGGTTGCCAATCTTACTCACTGCTGAATACACAACAGGTGCTTAATCCGGATTATTCTTATCAAGGCTCAAGAACTCATATGATTCAAAGCCATATAACACACATTTCTGTCGTGAAGCAGAATGAAGTTTGGGCATAGCCAGGGAACGAGAGAGATTTTACATTTTCCCCACTCGCACCCCGACCCGAAATTTTTCAGTTTAGCTTGTGTATGCAGCTCCGACACAAGTGCGAGATACATAAAAGGTGGTTGATCCCCGCTGTCTTTTCCCGTCACATAAGCCCTTGGTATGCGCTTCCTATATTTTTACAGACCTGAGGACTAGTTAAGCGTTCACCTTAGAAGCGATCGACCTTGTGCATAGATGTTAGCTGCGCGTTGAAAAAAACATGTAGTTGAAATTAGTCCTGAGCCCACCCTAAAGCCTGCCTCATTACATAATTGTGGGCTTATATCCATCTTCAGATAGAAAATGCTACGACATCGATTCCTGTTCAGCGCTTACTTGGTTCGTAGTGGTTGTAAAGGTGGTTGCTCGGCTGGATTGGTTCTGGTGGGGTCACTCGAAGGATGCGGGCGGAACGCTTGTTTTCATTCACCAGGCAGGATGCGACTGGACGTATCTTCTTCTCTTTCTTCTGTTCCCCAAGAGCGTTTACCCACTACGGTGGCCAAGGTGCGTGAAGACCAGGAAGCAGCCAGCTTCAAGAGTCATTAAACTTTCGATTTATTCTCTTTACTGAAATTTATGAAATTTTGCTAAAATCTCCGAGTTTTGCGTGGCCAAGCCGCAACAGTGTGACTAACAGACACGCATTAGTGGTTAATATGCTTGTACAAAGGGAGTGTCAACGTCCTTGTTTTTGTTGTTGTTATCTTATTAACTGTGGCGCATACCCACTGTGGGGAACCAGCGAAGAAGTGAGTGGTTTTGTAAAAAAAAGTATAAAGTTTAGAAATAATCTACGTTATACGTATTGAAAAATCCCAGATTACCTAAGAAATCGCCACTCAGGTAAAGCCAGCCTTTCCCGGAGTGGTGACACCTTGTGGCAGTTGTGAGCTCTGACGTCATGCCTTCAGGTAGCAGGAACGCGAGCGGCCTAAATAGACATTTCGACATGCTAATCGGCATGCTGAAACGCGCCATTTTTTTCGGAATCGAGGTGCCGAAAATGCTGTGGGGGAGCGTGCATCTTCGGTTAAACGAGCGCACCTTTGAACGTTCTCGTTCGTGCAATGCAGGTCAGCACTGCTGTTAGGCCGCGCATGCTCCTGGCTGCGTGAGCACACCATGCACCAGTCTCCGCAACACGCGCATGCGCACCAGCACCAGACGTCAAAAGCGTTCCGCCGCCGTCGTTACCACTTTGAAGCATGTTTAAATCCACGTGATTATGCTGCGTTGACGTCATAAAGCCGCCATATTTCGAATGCTGGTACACTAAGAATCTGCCCCCGTGAAGTGGCACGTGCAAAGTATCATTATTTGATTTTTTTTTCGTTAAGTGACAGGCCCTAAGGCGCAACCCCTGGTATACGTCAATGTTTACGTTCGCAACTTATCTCCTTAATCGAAAGCCCTTTAATCAAAGTGCCCACGGGGAAGCGCTGTCAAGTCAACACCGCTTCGAGATTATAGTGAAAGGACAATGGAACACCGCGCGGGGAAAAACAAAAGTCAAGTCTGGGACGGAATCGGAATGTGCCCCACGCTCACTTCCATTGTTTCTCATACGAAGCCGCGCTAATGGTTCCGGCCAGGCTCTCAGCAATGCGATGTAAAGACTAAGAGAATGGGAACGAAACAAAACTCAGCAACGTAATTTCTTTATACGGGCCTTTGCAGTGCTTGACGGCTGTGTTTTGATTTCTCCGCGGGAGCGGCGCGTCGCTTATATGCTAATCGAGCTCCGCTCCCTGAATAACAACGGTGGCAAATGGCTTCTTGGAAGGCCTAAGCTGGAGGGTCTTTGGAAAGAAAGATTAACGGTGCTGGAGACGTGAAATGAGTTTTAAAGGGAGTCGCTTTTGCGATTTTGTGCGTATCATCTCGGGCGTTGAAAGTTGAGTCGTCCATTTTCATTGTAGGCTTGATTCGGTGCGCTCAATTAGAACGTGGTGACCCGCTCCTGCAATGCGTGGACCTCGGGCATTCGTGCAAGTGGAAGTCATTTGGAACGGTAGTTCGATGACCATGCTAAACGATATGAACGTATACTTAGGCGTGATTTAGGTTTTTTTAAGGAAAACAATTAAGAGGGGTGGTCGCACTTTAAGATATTGATTGTTGATAGTGATGACTGCGCGCGTGCTTACGATTAGTGATAACAATATTATTGCTAAACTTGTTTCCATCCCCGAGTTTTGCACTCGTACTCGTTCAGAACACCAACGTACACAAACTACTTGTACATGCAATAAGCTTTGTTACCACGCACTTCGTTTTTTTTTTAAATACGGCACATTCACGTTCGCGAATATGTCACAATTATGTTGAGCCGACCCTGCCGCAACTGATTTTCTGAGGCATAAAAATAGCAAAGGTGCATGTCACTTATGCTTTGGTGCCGTCATGCTGAAGAGCTAAGTGCCAACGTTAGTTATGTATACGCAGGTCATGTTACAGCACATAAACAAGATGGCTGCCAGAAACCAATTTAAGCTCATCATGATGATAATACAGTAATAAAGGGATGGTTCACACCCGTGTCGGTGGTTTGGTTAGAGCGAGAAAAAACTTCAACAAATGTGTATCTGAAATAAATTAAACGAAAAGAACATAGCGACAGTGATCACAGACCGAAAATTAAATGTTACAAGATGCTTCGCCATATAGTCCCAGCCTCCATAACAAAATCGGGGCATATAGCTATCGCACTGGCCATCAATTGGAACATGGAGCGAAAAGCCTCCCTGACAATAATCACGGAATCGAAGGCTGCATGTGGGAACTACCAAATGGGTGGAATGGGTATACGAAGGCATATCAAATTGTAACCAAAACTTCTGAGGACATCTAAATCGGATACATTCAGACCGTTGTTTAAGCGCCAGGAGATTAGGGTGTCCCCGGAAACCTGTTTGTGCATGAGTCGGCTCGAGGCTTCAAAAATCACCGGGCGCAACGGCACACTGCAAGTGAGGACCCGACGCCCTCAGACCCTACATTCACTACAATTCTTCTATACCAGAGGGATAATAGAAAAATGCATCCAGCACCCTATAAGAACCTCACAGCAATGCAAAATGGGTCGTTACGCAGAGTCCAAAAAAAATAAATACACCAACTTACACAAGCTACATGTATTATGCCCCGCAGAATATCTGGGAGATATATGTCCGTGGTGCTGGACCACACCAACTCTGCTCCACATCACGTGGAAGTGTACACTACACAATGAAGAACCCCACAGCATGAACAACACAGGGGAACAATGCGATGTACTGCTGTCCAGCTCGGCCTCTGATGTTCGATCCAATTTTTCTGTTTCAACGGGCAGAGATGATGGCAATGGCCAGCGAAACCCTATAATAGGGGCCCAGACCGTTTGAAATGTATACCCCGCCTTATACGTAAATTAGGTTTTGTTCTCTCTCTCTCAACTCCCCAAATTGACCATTTTTCTCGCGATTGATTTTGCCTTTGGAGCTACTCCTTGCACCTCCATAACAGCATTTTCAAGTTCCAGCGATGGCGCCAGAGAATTCCCTTGCCTACCAAAATTATCACCCACCCCCTTTCTGTTCGCCCTCTAAAAGCGAACATTGTCAAAAAACAAAAACGCACGGAAGTTGCTTATCGTGGGGGTGTCCCCCCTTGCAAAAAAAAAAAAAGATCCTAGCACCGTTTTTGTCAAATTTGAGTGCGCACGTCTGTCGCACACGCTATTAAACCAAAGAACCACCACTAAATATAATTTTCCCATGTATTCGTTAAAGCTTTGTTGCCTCGAGAGTAAAATATCATGAATGACCCGATTATTTAATGTGCTAACTTACATGCGCATAGCGGAAATGCATGACTTTTCGTATGTTGATATTCGTCTGTTTTTGTTTTGCGTGAAGGTGTGGCTCAGTCAGTCGAGCTTTTAGCTTTTTTTTTCGGTTTTGCGCACCACAGTGTTTCTTTTTTTATAAATGTATGATTGGTGTCTAGACAATATTCTCAGATTGTGCTTGAACAAAACTAGTACTCATGCTCAAACTGAAGGATGACCTATTTCTATACTACACACCTTTCTAAACTGTTCCTGAAGCTGATTAACGTCGATGTTTCGACAGCACGTTATTTACTTGTAAGTGGCTATAGGCCAGGATGGACCGCATTGTAAGTTGTGTCTAAGCCATATACTCAGATTGCGGTTAAATAAAACTCACACTTACGCTCAAACTTTAATATGACCTCCTCGCCAAAATACGCCTTCGATAACTGTTCCTGCAGGAGATTAATTGTCAGATTTCAACACCACAATTTTTTTCTGACAATACACAGATTGTAAGCTAACACTCAAACTTGAAGATGATTTATTCATTGTAGTATACTCCTTCATCCACTGTTCCCGAAGAAGAGCAACCCCCGAGGTTTCAACATCACGTCCTCGCCTCGGAACGAGACTACAGGAAGGAGAGCTTTCTAACGGTCACGACCGACCGCGTTACGCTATACCCGAAACATGCTCGCTTGCACGCCTGCCATCTGTTGGGTACGCGCGGTGGCATATGCCGAGGAACTCCTCAGCGTGCTCTTTGCGTTTCACCAAGAAACGTCCGGCCTTCTTACGCCGCCCCGGAAGGTTCAAATTGCACGGGCAACAACGCAATGCGAGCTCATCCACGTGTGGGGCGGCACCGCCGGACGTGCTCTCATTTCTTCAGCTCCCGGTGAAGGTGTGTGTACGTGTGCATATGCGGTGCGCAATACACCCGCGCGTCGTGTACACCGGGAACGGTTCTTGCATATATGTAGTCAAGAGTGATCGCACTCGGAGAGCTTTTCAATTAGCGAGCCGCCGGGCGCGAATCCGTGCCACGCGGGCGCGCTCGCAAGCTGCGGGGTCTGTGCGTGCACGCTTCAATCACGGAGCCGCACGTTATACCGTGTTCTCTGCGCGGGGGTCATAAACAAACCACGTCCCCGGAAAGAGAGCATGGGAGAAGAGAGCCAATTATCGCTTAGAGCTGCGCACGAGGTCATAAAGAAGTCGAGGAGCAGCTTGCGTCTCGACTGGGGCTCTCAGGGAGGGCCGGCATTCCCAAAGTAACCATCGTTCTTCGAAAAAAATTAAAATAAAAGGAAAAGAAATGGACACGCGCGTTTATTTATTCACGTGATCATTTTTGATATAACATGAATTCCTGCAATCGATGTGTCCTCTGTAACTAAAGGCGAACAAATGCAAGCCTAGCGTCATAGTAACAAAATAAGAATAATAATTGTTAAGGCTCTAGTATAAAGCCAAGATGTGGTAATATGGAACGTCGTGTTAGAGGGCTCCAGATATTATGAATAGCTGGTGTTCTTCAACACGCACCTATGTCTAAGTACACGGGCTTCTAATATATTTCGCCTCTATCGAAATGCGACTGTCACGGCCCGCATTCGATGCCGTGACTTCCGGGCCTGCAGTCGAGTGCCATGACCATTATAGACCAACGTGAAAGGCTGAATGTAGGCCAGCCGCAGATTCAAAGTGAAGGTGGGAGCCGACTGATGGAAACGCACCCATCTGCAGCCAGAGATGCATAACAATAAATGTTCGCCAGATCCCACGTATACATTGGGATTCGACGTTATACGGTACATGCGAAGAAAACATGACCGTGTTGTAATTCTTTATTGGACGAAACGTCATGAAATGGCGCTTAATATATGTATAAATGTTACACGCACATACATGTTGAAGAGTTGGGGATGTGTATGCATCCAGCTCCTTGCGCCTGCGCAACGATGCCAGCAGAAACAAGAGTATTAGCAACACCGAAAGCGATATGCTGATATGAAGCGCTGGTGCTCGCGACAGTGGAAGCCTTTGACACTGCGACATAAATCAACTTCAGCGCAGGACAAATAATCTCAATTGACATTGGCATGACGTGACGGCTGTATGATAGGAGTACATATGTAATGTTTATAAAATTGGATAGCCAGCACTGTAACACAGTTGACAATTCACGATTAGGGCCTATATGAACAGTAGTTCCGTGGCTTCCTGTAACTCTGTCGTAGAATGCTTGATTTCCACGAAGAGAGCTTCGGTTCGATTTCTATTGAGACACTGAGTGAGTGAAACAACTTTATTGACGATCCGGCATGAATGGGTAAGGAGTAGGAGAATTAGAGCGATACACTAGCGTGTTCGGACGTCTCGGAGCAGCAACCTACTCGCGTCAAGCCCGTAGACGAGCCGTTTTTGGCCGCTGGAGTTCCAGGATGCTAAGCAGGTGCTGGAACACGTCTCTTTGGTTTCGTGGCTTTCGGCTGATGATTTTGCTGCTGACGGCAGTTGGCGTTGCTTTTTGGGTACCCGGCGGTGGAGCACAGTCCCATCGGAGGTGTGTCTGTGTGGCTTGCACCTTCTTGCAGTGTTGGCATATATCTGTGGTGTATAACTCAAGGGCAGACGTGCTTTGCCCAGACGGGAGTACTCACAACGTCGGGAAGCATACGATGCGAGTCGCCCACGCAAGCCGAGAAGTTTGCAGTCGCACTGGCCCTGGCGATCC